TGTCTATAACCATCCTGGAGCCTTCATCCAGTGACTGGTGGATGCAGAGGCAAACAACCACAGTTAAACACTGAACTGAACTCATGGAACCTAGTGACAGAGAGAGAGAGGAACGATGAGCAAATTGGCAAAGAATGGGCTAGCAAAACCAGCAGAGACAGCTGATCTGAACAGGGGAGAGCACTTGAACCCCAGACCGACAGCTGGGAGGCCAATATGGGACTGATCCAGACCCCCCCAAATGTGAGAGTCAGTGAGGAGGCCTGGGCAAACTATGGGGCCCTGAGCAGTGGATCAGTGTTTATCCCTCGAATACAAATGGACTTTGTGTGTCCATAACACAAAGAGGGATGCTCTCTCAGCCTGGACTCTTAGGGGAGTGCCTGGACCCTACCCTGAGTGAAATGACAGACTCTAGATATTCCCTATATGGAAGGAAGTGGCAATAGGGTGGGAGACTGGGGGGATGGTTGGGGGGGTGCGGGAGGAGGGGAGGGAGAGGGAACTGGGATTGACATGTGAAGCAAGTTATTTAAAATTAAAATAATAAAAAATAATTTAAAAAAGAAAGCATAAACATAAAGCTAAAGGAAATGACAAAAGCAATCCAGAACTTAAAAACAGAATTCAATAAAGTGATAGAAACATTGAAAAGAACTCAACCTGAAATGAATATAGAATTGTAAAACCCAATAACCCAAGTAGGAAACACAAAGGAAACCCTTTCAAGTTGAATGAAACAAGCAGAAGATACAGATCAGGACTTGAAGATTAAAGTTGAGGATCTAGATCAAATAAACAAGGAATATGAAAAAAAAAACTTCTAAAAACTGGGGAAAAGAATATTCAGAAAATGAAGGACACCAAGAAAAGAACAAAGCTTCAAATTGTAAGTATATATGAAGGAGAAGAATCCTATGTTAATGACATAGACCAGATCTTCAACAACATAATGGAAGAAACCTTCTCCAAAAAAAGAAAAGGGACACTCATACAACAAGAAACAAACCTACCTCCAAATATACAAGACCAGAAAAGAAAACCTCTACAGTACATCATAAATAAATCACTAAGTATACAACATATAGAAAGTACTGAAAGCTTCAAAGATAAAACACAAGTCACATAATAAGGGAAAGCCTGTCAGAATGACAGTGGACTTCTCAGTGGAAACTTAGAAACCCAGAAGAGCCAGGCGGTGGTGGCGCACGCCTTCAATCCCAGCACTCAGGAGGCAGAGGCTGGCGGATCTCTGTGAGTTCGAGGCCAGCCTGGTCTACAAGAGCTAGTTCCAGGACAGTCTCCAAAGCCACAGAGAAACCCTGTTGTGGGGACACCAGACCTTGAGCAGAAACCCAATTCCCCTTCGGCCTGGGAGCAGGCAGCTGTGAGATAATGTTTACTGAAAACAATTCAGTGCTATAAAGCTCTTGATAGGGCTCAGATAAGGGCTCCATCACTGAAACACCATGACTTTGACACCCCCTACAGCTAGATGCTTCTTCCTGTCCCCCCTGCTGTGTCTCCCCGATTCTGGGGCCAGAGATTAAACCACCAGCCAGGAGGCTGAGAAGTCTGGAAAGAATTGTATGTAGATGGATGGCAGAAGTCCTTAAAGAAGGAAGCGTTTTTTCTTGGAGAGACTTCTCCTAAGCTGACTTGGGGTCTCCTCCTAAGCTGACTTGGGGTCTCCTCCTAAGATGACTTGGGAAGCATAAAGTTTTCTTAAAACAATCGACTGGTCTCTGTGTCATCTATCCCGACTACCTCGCTACATTCTCGGATGCAGCCGCACAGCAGGTATGACACCCTGTCTCGAAAAAACAAACAAAACAAACAAACAAACAAACAAAAAAAGAAACCCAGAAGAGCCTGGAGCAAACCACCCCATGTCCTAAAAGACCACAACTGTCAATCTAGACTACTGTACTAATCAAAATTGTCTGTTTTGTTTTGCAGATTGCCATAGAACTCACTCTGTAGACCTGGCTAGCCTCGGACTCACAGAAATCCTCCTGCCTCTGCTTACTGAGTGCTGGGATTAAAGGTGGACGCCACCAGTGCCCGGTGCATGGTTTAAAGATTTTTAAAATATATATATATATATATATTGAAAAAAGTGGACATACACACATTATTCCTGATTTTAATGAAATGGCCCCTGTAGTCTAGAGCATTTTTATGAAGCGAGTAGTATCCTGATTCCAAAACCAGATAAAGTCATCCTAAATGAAAAAAGAAAATTGCTGATGGCTAACCAGGCTCCCTGATGAACATAGATGCAAAATGCAAAGTGAATTCAACATCACATCAAAAAGACCATCTAACTCAAGCAAGCTGACATCATTACAGAGACATAGAGATAGTTCAATATATTTTAGTAAAATAAGTGAATGTTATTCAGCACATAGGCGCATAGTCAAAAATAATTTGATAAAATTCAATATCTATGATAAATGATTATTTATGTGAGGCACAATTTATTTACAAAAGAGGGTAAAATTCAGCATCAAATATGCCATGTTTTGTTTATTCCAATGGGAGACCTGCCCTTTCCTAAACAGAAACAGAGAAGGAGTGGATTGGGGGGAGGGGGTCTGGGGTAGGGCTGGGGGGATGACCTGGGAGGAGAAGAGTGAAAGGAAAGCGTGGCCCAGGGTGTATAATAAAAAGTAAATAAACTTATTTTAAATGAAAATATCAACATAAGAAGTTGAGTGTCCGAAGTGCTGTGCCTTCTAAGGGCTGACTTTTCTCCCTTACAACCTCACCCAACCCTTGCCAAGGAGCCAAGGCAACTGTACAACCCCTCAGTCTTCAAAGATTCCTCTTCCCCCAGCTCTGCTCAAAGCAGGTGAGAGCCAGATGAGCCTAGGGCAGTGGGCCAGATGCCACCACAAGCCACCATGTGAGGAGTGGTCCATCCTAGCAACAAACACTGCGATCCTTTACGGTACCCTAATAAGGAATGGGGAACACATCAAAAAAATCTCTCCCGGGATGACAATCACAAAATACACTAGACATCCAAGGGTTAACAGCCTTGAGGCAAGTCACCTTGCTTTAGAGGAGCAAGCTACTGCTCAGAACAAAAAAATATCCCACTAGGACCTCCTTCTCTCCCATCTGCCAAGTATCCTTACACTGAGGCCATTCTACTCCCTGTCTGTTCCTCCAGCCATGCAGAGTGGAGCTTAATCCACTCTGGGAACCAGGCAGTGGTGGCAATCTCCTTTAATCCCAGCACTTGGGAGGCAGAGGCAGGCAGCTCTCTGTAGGATTGAGGCCAGCCTGGTGTACAAGAGCTAGTTCCAGGGCAGCCTCCAAAGCCACAGAGAAAACCTGTCTCCAAAAAAAAAACAAACAAACAAAAAAGTAAGTTGGCAGGAGATCTGGGAAGAGGAAGACAGAGAGTAGGTCACCATAGAGATACAGTGTAACTTCCAAGGACCAGAGACCCGAGCATCACAGGTATTTGGCTTACATGTATACTGTGTTGGCATGTTGGTGGGATATGAATGGGTCAGGTATTATGGCACTGAGGAGCCACAGAATACTGAGTATTACACAGCTCAGATGAAAATGTATCCTGGAGCTCAGGAGTCACAGAATACTGAGTGTTACACAGGTCAGATGGAAAGGTATCCTGGAGCTTGGGAGCCAAGGACTACCACAGATTAAACTAAGCATAGCAGCTTACAGCCTTGCTTCAGGAAAAGGCTTCCCCAGTGTATGGGCTCCACTCAGGCAGGACAACATCTTTCATCTGGGGGTGTTCCCACAGTGTTGCAGTTTTGCTCCCCAGGAGGATTCTCCACAGTTCAGCCCTATTCTGGGAGAACAGAGAGAAGAGGTTGGAGCTCTGCCAAGAGAAGCTTTCCCTGGCAAAAGGGTTACAGCCCTGCTAGCTCTGCTCTGCTCTGCCCAGGGTCGCCTCTGCTCTGTCGCCACCACAAAAGATTTTCACCCAAAGCTCATTGAAGGGGTTTATTGGAAGGAAGAATCCGGAGGAATGGCTGCCCTCTGCCAGAGTAGCAGGGGACAGCAGGGTAGCACGAACAGCCACAAGTTGAACAGAAACGCAGTTTATATCGGGTTTACAGGGTGGGGATTGGTCAGATTTAGTGCTGAGCTCCGATTGGCTAGAGCTCCTGCTCAAGGATTGGCTAGTTTTCTGCACAGGATTAGGGTGAGATTTGGCTCTGGTTTCAGGGCCAAAGTGTGTTTCTTTTTCTGGTCCTTTTTAGCCTTTTGGCTCCAATTTTAGGTCCAGGATGCATTTCTTTCACTGGCTCTATTTCCTGGGACAAAATGTGTTTCTTTGGCACTGGTTTCAGGGTCGGGGTTCATTTCTTGGTTCTGGTTGCAGGGCCAAAGTGTGTTTCTTTGGCTCTGCTCAGGGTGTGCTTCTTTGACTCGTCCTTTTCCCCTACATATTCTGCACCACTTGCATGCCTGGTCCCAGCAGAAGACGGTTTGGGAGCCCCTAGGTGAATTGAGGTGGAAGCAAGCCTTCATGTGGGTGCTGGGTGTTGAGGACTGGTCCTCTGGAAGAAAAGACAGTTTAACTGATGAACCACCTACAGCCCTTGCTCCGGAAGTGCTTAAACTATTCTAGGTCTAATATCACAAACTCAGGAAAACACCCAGAGGTTCTAGAAGGTTCTTTGTGACTTGACCATTGAGGCAGGATTGTAAAAAAAAAGAAAAAAAAGAAAAGAAAGAAAGAAAGAAAAATTTAAGAATGGCTTGAGTTTTTCTACAATCCATGCTGCACGCCTACACAGACAGCCTCCATTAACAGTCCTGGTGGCAAGACCACCCGGAGAGTATATAAGGGGCAGGCTGTAAAGAGGATCACCACATGGGCCACCCAGAGTGCACTAGTGAAACACGCCACCAGGTGGGCGACCAATAGGAATGCAGTGGGCTCTATAAAAGCCGAGCCCTCAAGGCACCTAGCACACTCGAGGAGCAGAGGAGAAAGGGGCTTCTTCACGATGGTACGCACCAAGCAGACAGCGCGGAAGTCGACAGGAGGCAAGGCTCCGCGGAAGCAGCTAGCTATGAATGTGGCTTGCAAGACTGCACCGGTTACTGGCGTAGTGAAGAAGAAGCAGCACCGCTACCGCCCAGGCACCGTGGCGCTTCGTGAGATCCGCCGCTACCAGAAGACCACCGAGTTGCTGATTCGCAGGGCGCCGTTCCAGCACTTGGTGCGTGAGATAGCCCAGGGTTTCAAGACTGACCTGCGCTTCCAGAGCTCTGCGCTGATGGCACTGCAGGAGGCCTGCGAGGCCTACCTCGTGGCGCTGTTCGAAGACACCAACCTGTGTGCCATCCACGCCAAGCGGGTGACCATCATGCCGAAAGACATCCACCTGGCTCGTCGCATTCGCGGAGAGCACTCTTAAACTTAGACTCCACAGGCTCCTGATTATTGCACTATCCTAAACCCAAAGGCTCTTTTCAGAGCCACCCACCACATCTAAAAAAGTGGTTGTAACCTTGTATGTAAATTTGATTGATAATTGAAAATATATGCAATTTTTTTGCTTTTAAAAACTGGCCTCAGAATAAAAATTTTGAAACCTTAAAAAAATCACAATGAATGCATGGGATGTCTCCAAGAATAACGAGGCCAGGTATTTTGTTCTTTGAGGCCTTATACGAACATTTTCTATTGACTCAGTATTCAATTAATAGTTCAGTTTAGTATGATAGCTGATGTTAATGAGTATACAGGCTTTTAGTAAGTGAACGGAAGAAAGACATGCCAAACAGAAAACAGCAGTGTGCAAATAATAGGGATTACACAGACAAAGTTTAGGGAGCCAGTTTCAGGGACTGGCATAGAAGATGCATGTGGCATGTAGGCTTAAAAACACAGTAATTTTGCTGGGCAGTGGTGGCACATGCCTTTAATCCCAGCACTAGGGACTCAGAGGCAAGTAGATCTCTGTGAGTTTGGACCAGCCTGGTCTACAGAGCGCGTTCCCAGGACAGCCTCCAAAGCCACACAGAAACCCTGTCTCGAAACCCATCCGCCCCAAAAAAAAAAACACAGCAATTTGCTACCATTTCACAATAATCATGTGCCTTTCAGAGAAGGCAGAGATTCAAAAAGCAAAGGAAAGGTCTCACTGGGAGATCTCTTATTAATCTGTTAAAGCCTACAAAGTATTTTATATACACTCCAGATAGTTTGCTTTTCTGGTCAACAAATGATATACATACATAGCCAGTTGACTTTACACAATATATGGCTAAATATTGAGACATATTGGTCCTACCTTAAAGCAAAACTCTCTTCATTAACCTGAGTAAATCCCCAAGGAGAGAACAATTATCCTCCAAAAAATAAATACAGACAGAGGTATCTGAGCAATATCAGCAGCTCAAAAGTTCAGGTGCAAATAGAAACCCAATTTTCTCCTTTAAAAAAATGCAAGTGGAATGGTGACATCGTTCAGACAGTAAAAGTGACTCCTACCAAGTCTGATGACCTGAGTTTGATCCCCAGAACCTACATGACGGAATAGAACTGATTGATTGATTGATTGATTGAATGCAACAAAGGTTTGAAAGACACACATTTGCTAATCAATAGAGCTTCTCTCAGGAAAAAGGAGATGAGATAGGATCAAAATTTGATTTCTACTAAATCTGCTACCCTCAATCCATTCATCCAGAGAACACTATTTAAGAAAGCAGATGGTAGATGGGTGGCAGTGGCACACACCTTTAATCCCAGCACTTGGGAGACAGAGGCAGGTGGAATTCTATGAGTTTGAGGCCAGCCAGGGCTACACACACAGAAATCCTGACTTTAAAAGAAAAAATCAATCAAGCAGATTGCATAAGAGATCGATATGTTATACAGGCTTTTTTTTTTTTTTTTTGGTCTTCAGAAGGACTCTCAGTTCCCATTACAGGACAAGCAGGAAAGTTTGAATATGATGCAGTAACTCGAGCACTACTAGAACCTCACATGCAAGTGTTTTTCCTTTTTGCTTTTTCAAGACCGGGTTTCTTTGTGTAGCCTTATCTGTCCTGGAACTCACTCTGTAGACCAGGCTGGCCTCAAACTCATAGAGACCTGCCTGTCTCTGCATCCCTGAGTGATAGATAGTATTAAAGGCACGTGCCACTACATTGGGCTGTATCTGTTTTCTTAAAGACTGCCATTATGATTACAATTAGATGGAACCTCAAATTTGAATTTGAATTTCCTGATTGACCAATGTGTCCTTTCTTTACTTGTTGCTGTGACAAAGTATCTGAAGCAGAATTTCAGGGAGGAAGAATTTATTCTGGCTCACAAATTGAAGACTTAGGTTGAGGAAGACAGGACAGCAGGAGTGTGAGGCAGCTAGTCACACCGATTCCCAGTTAGGACACAGAGACAGAACGCAGATGTTCAGCTACCTTTCTCCTTTTGATGCAACCAGGACTCTGGCCACAGAATGAAGAATGCCTGGGGTTAGGTTTTAATTAACCTAATCTAGATAATCCTTCACAGACTCGTCCAGGGGCTCCTTTCTGTGGTGATTTTAGATCCTGCCATATTGACAGTCAATATTAACCATCATAGATACTGAGGTTGAACAATTTTTCACGCATTTATTTTACATTTTAGTTTATCCTTTGAAAGAACTATCTGTTATTGCTATGATTGAGGTGTTTGATTTCTGTAGGGTTTTTTTTCACTCTTTGTGCATCCTCGGTATTAAGCTTCTATCTGCTATGCACCTGGCAAAGACTTCCTCCCATTCTTCCGGCTTCCTCTTGTCTTAGTTGTTTCCTTCCCAGCTTGGAACTTTCTTCATTTCATGAATCCCATTTGTCGACTCTTAGGCTTATTTTCTGAGCAAGTAGAGTCCTGCTCAGGAATCCTTGCTTGTGCTTGAAGTGTTTTCTATCCTTTTTCTCATGACAGTTTCAGAGTTTAAAGTATTATATCATTGACACTGATGCACTAGGAGTTGACTTTTGTATAGGCTAACAGACAGGGATCTAGCTTCATTCTTCTTTATATGGATAGCCAGATCTCCCAGCATCATTTGATGAGAGCACTGACCTTTCTTCAATGCACTTTTGTACATCTTTAGAATCAGTTGGCTGTATTCACATGGGTTTATATCATGGTCCTCTCTTCTATTCCATATATCTGCGTGTCTCTTTTTGTGCCATTAGCATGCTACTTTGTTCCTGCCGCTGTATGTATAACCTGGAATCAGTTTTCATGATATCTACAGCATTCTTTTTTATGTTCAGATTTCTTTGACTATGTAGACTCTTTTATGCTTCCATCACTGTCCATCCATTCCTTTGAGACTGGGTTGCAAATTGAGCCTGCAGCTAAGCTGCTGACCAGCAAGCTTCAGTATCCTCTTGTCTCTGTCCCTAACAATGCTAAGTTTATGAACACATAGCCGTGCCTGCCTTTTTTAAGAATAGGTTCTGAGAATTCAACCTTAGGTTCTCTTCTTATTTATCAAGAGTTCCTAATCTCTGAAACATTTATTTAGCCACTAAAATATTTTTAAGGCACCTGAAAACGGGGTTGTTTTCTTGATTCAATTATCAACATATTTGTTATATGTACATGTAGTGATTTTTGTGTGATTATTTTCTATCCTGCAATTTTTCCTGCAAGTACTTGTGAAATCTAAAAGTTTTCTGATATAATCTATTATATATAGAATCATATCACCTCACATGAGGATAATTTGACTCTTCCTGTCTGTATGCCTCTTATTTCTTTCTCTTATTATTTTAGCTAAAACTTCAGATACTATATTGAATAAGGGGTATTCACGATATATATTGAAGCAGAGACCAGCGCGGGTGGAGGGCGAAGACCGACCGAGCACGCCAACCATGGCTTCCAAGTGTCCCAGCTGTGACAAGACCTTGTACTTTTCTGAGAAGGTGAGCTCCCTAGGCAAGGACTGGCACAAGTTCTGTCTCATATGTGAGCGCTGCAACAAGACGCTGACCTCCCGGGGCCATGCTGAGCATGATGGGAAACCTTTCTACCACAAACCCTGCTGTGTATGTCACACTGTTTGGACCCAAAGGCGTGAATATGGGGTGCTCTGGTTCCTAGGTCAAAGAGAAGGTTCTGACTGAGAGCCTCAGGCCTCAGGTAACATTGGCCCCATTGAGGTCCCTGTGGTGCGAACCGAAGAATAGAAGACCAGCGGACCCCCAACGGTCCCAGCAAAGCCTCTAGTGTCATCACATTCACTGGGACACCCAATAATTGTCTGCAATGCAACAAGAGGGTGTGCTTTGCTGAGAAGGTGACCTGCTGCAGCCAGCTCTTCCTGTGCTGGGAGTGTCGCTCCAAGACACTGACCCCTGGCCGCTATGCTGAGCATGACGGCCAGCCCTACTGCCACAAGCCTTGGTATGGAATTCTCTTTGGACACAAGGGAGTAAATGCCAATACTGGGGGCAGCTGTAGCTATGACAAGGACCCTAAAGGAACAGCCCAGCGTTAGACCTGCAGATGCTCTCCTCCGGGTCCCATGCTTGACCCTGAGGGAAAATGACCCACTGTCTCCACTGCTTCCCCTTACCTCAGTGTGTCTTGACTGCAAATACCGGGACCTGAGTGGCTGATGGGGAAGTCTGCTGGGTAGTGTGCAGAACAGCACAGAAGTTCAACCCTACTTCTTTGTTTTCTTTCTTTCGTTCTTTCTTTCATTCGTTCTTTCTTTCTTCCTTCCTTCCTTCTTTCCTTCCTTCCTTTCTTCCTTTCTTACTTTCTTTTTTGTTTTTCGAGACAGGGTTTTTCTGTATTGTTTTGGATGCTACCCTGGAACTTGCTCTGTAGACCAGGCTGGCCTCAACCTCACAGAGATCCGCCTGCCTCTGCCTCCCGAGTGCTGGGGTTAAAGGTGTGCGCCACCAACGGCGGGCTTTAACCCTACTTCTTTGTCACCTCACCATGTCGTCTCTTACCCACTGCCTCCTTTGTGACTGTGTGCCTCTGTAGCTTCACGTGTCCTGTGTCCTGTTCCCGTGCCCAGCATTCTCTCTATCCCTGTGTCTCCATGTCCCCAATGGCTCTCCGAGGTGGCTGTCCTATGATGTCCCTGTTGCCCACACATGCCCACATGTATTTTTTTATGCTCTGCTGGCCAGTGATGGCCTGACCTCACAGCATTACCAGGGTGGCAGCACCCCTGCAAGGAGTCCTTTGCTGGTTCGCACACGACTCCCTACCTGCCCCTCACATTGTTCACAGGTACCCAGACTTTGCTGTGAATAAATGGATTGAGGATTGTTTTGTTTTTGCTTTTTCGAGACAGGGTTTCTCTGTATTGTTTTGGAGGCTGTCCTAGAACTCGCTCTGTGGACCAGGCTGGTCTCAAACTCACAGAGTTCTGCCTGCCTCTGCCTCCCGCGTGCTGGGATTAAAGGCCAGCGACACCAATACTCGGCCCACGGTTTGAGGATTTTTAAAAAAGATAAATATTTAAGAAAGTGGGCATTCTCACCTTATTCCTGATTTTAATGAAATGGCCCCTGTAGTCTAGAGCATTTTAATGAAGCAAGTAGTATGCTGAATCCAAAACCAGATAAAGACATCGCAAAAAGAAAAAAGAAAATTGCTGATGGCTAACCAGTCTCCCTGATGAACACAGATGCAAAATGCAAAGTGAATTCAACATCACATCAAAAAGACCATCTACGTCAACCAAGCTGGCATCTTTACATAGACAGAGAGATTGTTCAATATATTTCAGTAAAATCAATGAATGTTATTCAGCACATAGGCGCATAGTCAGAAATCATATGATCAATTACAAAGATGCAGAAAAGGTATTAAATAAAATTCAATACCTATGATAAATGATTATTTATGTGGGACACAATTTATTTAAAAAAGAGGGTAAAATTCAGCATCAAATATGCCATGTTTTGTTTATTCTCATGGGAGACCTGCCCTTTCCTATACAGAAACAGAGGAGGAATGGATGGGGGTGAGGGAGACTGGGGAAGGGCTGGGGAAGGGCCTGGGAGTAGAAGAGGGAAAGGAAAGCTTGGCCAGGTTGTATAAATAAACTTATTTTAAAATGAAAACATCAACATAAGAAGTTGAGTGTCTGAAGTGCTGTGCCTTCTAAGGGATCACTTTTCTCCCTTACAACCTCACCCACCCCTTGCCAAGGAGGCAAGGCAACTGCACAACCCCTCAGTCTTCAAAGATTCCTCCTCCCCCAGCTCTGCTCAAAGAGGGTGAGAGCCAGGTGAGCCTGGGGCAGTGGGACAGATGCCACCATAAGCCACCATGTAGGGAGTGGTCCATCCTAGCAACAAACAATGAGATCCTTTACGATAGCCAAATAAGGAATGGGGAACCCATCCAAAAAATCTCTCCCAGGATGACAACCACCAAATACACTAGACATAAGCAAGGGTTAACAGCCTTGAGGCACGTCACTTTGCTTTACAGGAGCAAGCCACTGCTCAGCACTAAGAAATATCCCACTAGGACCTCTTCTCCCATCTGCCAAGGATCCTTGGACTGAGGCCATTCTACGCCCTCTCTATTCCCACAGCCACGCAGAGTGGAGCTTACAAAATCCACTGGGAACCAGGCAGTGGTGGCAATCTCCTTTAATCCCAGCACTTGGGAGTCAGAGGCAGGCAGCTCTCTGTGGGATTGAGGCCAGCCTGGTGTACCATAGCTAGTTCTAGGGCAACTTCCAAAGCCACAGAGAAACCCTGTACCGAAAAAAAAAACAAACAAACAAAAAAGCTACTTGGGAACAGGAAGACAGATCCTAGTTCACCAGATAGACACCATGTATCTGCCAAGGACCAGAGACCCTAGCATCACAGGCATTTGGCTTACATGTATACTGTGTTGGCATTTAGGTGGAATTTGAAAGGAACAGGTATCCTGGCACTGGGGAGCCACAGAATACTGAGTGATACACAGCTCACGTGGAAAGGTATCCTGGAGCTCTGGAGTCACAGAATACTGAGTGTTACACAGCTCACGTGGAAAGGTATCTGGGAGCTCTGGAGCCACAGAATACTGAGTGTTACACAGCTCAGGTGGACAGGTATCCTGGAGCTAGGAGTCACAGAATACTGAGTGTTACACAGCTCAGATGGAAAGGTATCCTGGAGCTCGGGAGTCACAGAATACTGAGTGATACACAGCTCACGTGGAAAGGTATCCTGGAGCTCTGGAGCCACAGAATACTGAGTGTTACACAGCTCAGGTGGAAAGGTAACCTGGAGCTCAGGAGTCACAGACTACTGAGTCTTACACAGCTCAGGTGGAAAGGTATCCTGGAGCTCAGGATCACAAAATACTGAGTGTTACACAACTCAGATGGAAAGGTTTCCTGGAGCTCGGGGGCCAAGGACCACCACAGGTTGCAGTAAGCATAGCAGCTTACAGCCCTGCCTCAGGGAAAGGCTTCCCCAGTATATGGGCTCGACTCAGGCAGGACAGCATCTTCAAGCTGAGGCTGTTCGCTCACTGTTGCAGTTTTGCTCGGCAGGAGGTTTCTCAGGAGAAGTTGTTACAGTTCAGCTCTACTCCTGGAGAGTGGAGAGCACAGATTGGAGCTCATCCAAGAGAAGCTTTCCCTGGCAAAAGGGTTACAGCCCTGCTCGCTCTGCTCTGCTCTGCCCAGGGTCTCCTCTGCTCTGTTGCCACCGCAAAAGTATTTCACCCAAAGCTTATTGAAGGTTTTTTTTGGAAGAAAGAAACCAAGGAATGGCTGCCCTCTGCCAGAGTAGCAGGGGACAGCAGGGTAGCACGAACAGCCACAAGTTGAACAGAAACGCAGTTAATATCGGGTTTACAGGGTGGGGATTGGTCAGATTTAGTGCTGAGCTCCGATTGGCTAGAGCTCCTGCTCAAGGATTGGCTAGTTTTCTGCACAGGATTAGGGTGAGATTTGGCTCTGGTTTCAGGGCCAAAGTGTGTTTCTTTTTCTGGTCCTTTTTAGCCTTTTGGCTCCAATTTTAGGTTCAGGATGCATTTCTTTCACTGGCTCTATTTCCTGGGACAAAATGTGTTTCTTTGGCACTGGTTTCAGGGTCGGGGTTCATTTCTTGGTTCTGGTTGCAGGGCCAAAGTGTGTTTCTTTGGCTCTGCTCAGGGTGTGCTTCTTTGACTCGTCCTTTTCCCCTACATACTCTGCACCACTTGCATGTCTGGTCCCAGCAGAAGACGGTTTGAAAGACCCTGAGGTGAATTAAGGTGGAAGCAATCCTTCATGTGGGTGCTGGGTGTTGAGGACTGGTCCTCTGGAAGAACAGACAGTTTAACTGATGAACCACCTACAGCCTTTGCTCCGGAAGTCCCTAAACTGTTCTAGGTCTAATATCACAAACTCAGGAAAACACCCAGAGGTTCTAGAAGGTTCTATGTGACTTGACCGTTGAGGCAGGATTGTAAAAAAAAAAAAAAAAAAAAAAAGAAATGAAAAGAAACGAAAGAAAGAAAAATTTAAAAACGGCTTGAGTTTTTCTACAATCCATGCTCCACGCCTACACAGACAGCCTCCATTAACAGTCCTGGTGGCAAGACCACCCGGAGAGTATATAAGGGGCAGGCTGTAAAGAGGATCACCACATGGGCCACCCAGAGTGCACTAGTGAAACACGCCACCAGGTGGGCGACCAATAGGAATGCAGTGGGCTCTATAAAAGCCGAGCCCTCAAGGCACCTAGCACACTCGAGGAGCAGAGGAGAAAGGAGCTTCTTCACGATGGTACGCACCAAGCAGACAGCGCGGAAGTCGACGGGAGGCAAGGCTCCACGGAAGCCGCTAGCTATGAATGTGGCTTGCAAGACTGCACCGGCTACTGGCGTAGTGAAGAAGAAGCAGCGCCGCTACCGCCCAGGCACCGTGGCGCTTCGTGAGATCCGCCGCTACCAGAAGACCACCGAGTTGCTGATTCGCAGGGCGCCGTTCCAGCACTTGGTGCGTGAGATAGCCCAGGGTTTCAAGACTGACCTGCGCTTCCAGAGCTCTGCGCTGATGGCGCTGCAGGAGGCCTGCGAGGCCTACCTCGTGGCGCTGTTCGAAGACACCAACCTGTGTGCCATCCACGCCAAGCGGGTGACCATCATGCCGAAAGACATCCACCTGGCTCGTCGCATTCGCGGAGAGCACTCTTAAACTTAGACTCCACAGGCTCCTGATTATTGCACTATCCTAAACCCAAAGGCTCTTTTCAGAGCCACCCACCACATCTAAAAAAGTGGTTGTAACCTTGTATGTAAATTTGATCGATAATTGAAAATATATGCAATTTTTTTGCTTTTAAAAACTGGCCTCAGAATAAAATCTTTGAAACCTTAAAAATATCACAATGAATGCATGGGTTGTCTCCAAGAATAACCAGGCCAGGTACTTTGCTCTTTGAGACTTATACGAACATTTTCTATTGACTCGGTAATCAAGTAATAGGTAAGTTTAGTATGATAGGTAATGTTAATGTGTATATAGCTTGTAGTAAGTGAACGGAAGAAAGACATGCCAAACAGAAAACAGCAGTGTGCAAATAAAAGGAATTACACAGACAATGTTTAGGGAGCCAGTTTCAGGGACAACATCGAATATGCATGGGGCAGGTAGGCTTAAAAACACAGTAATTTTGCTGGGCGGTGGTGGCACATGCCTTTAATCCCAGCACTAGGGAGGCAGAGGTAGGTAGATCTCTGTGAGTTTGGACCAACCTGGTCTACAGAGGGAGTTCCAGGACAGCCTCCAAAGCCACACAGAAACCCTGTCTCGAAACCCACCCCCGCAAAACAGCAATTTGGTACTATTTCACAATAATCATGTGCCTTTCAGAGAAGGCAGAGATTCAAAAAAGCAAAGGAAAGGTCTCACTTGGAGATCTCTTATTAATCTGTTACAGCCTACTAAGAATTTTACATACACTCCAGATTGTTTTCTTTTCTGGTCAACAAATGATAAACATATATAGACAGTTGACTTTACAGAGGATATGGCTAAATATTGAGACATATTTGGACTACCTTAAAGCAAAACTCTCTTCATTAACCTGAGTAAATCCCCAAGGAGAGAACAATTGTCCTTCAAAAAATGTATATGCTTTCCTTAAATAAGTACAGACATACCTATCTGAGCAATATCAGCAACTCAAAAGTTCAGCTGCAAATAGAAACCCAATTTCCTCCTTTAAAAAACATGCACGTGGACTGGTGACATGGTTCAGACAGTAAAAGTGACTGCTACCAAGCCTGATGACCTGAGTTTGATCCCCAGAACCCACATGGTAGAATAGAACTCATTGATTGATTGATTGATTGATTGATTGATTGATTGATTGACTTCAACAAAGAATTAAAAGATGCACACTTGCTAATCAATAGAGCTTCTCTCTGGAACAAAGGAGATGAGAAAGGATCAAAATTTGATTTCTACCCTCAATCCACTCATCTGGAGAACACTATTTAAGAAAGCAGATGGCAGATGGGTGGCAGTGGCACACACCTTTAATCCCAGCACTTAGGAGGCAGAGGCAGGTGGATTTCTATGTGTTTGAGGCCCATCAGAGCTACACACACAGGAACCCTGTCTTGAAAAAAAAAGCAAAAAAGCAGATTGCATCAGTGATCGATATGTTACAGAGGCTTTTTTTTTTTTTTTTTTTTTTTTTGGTCTTCAGAAGTACTCTCAGTTCCCATTACAGGACAAGCAGGAAAGTGTGAAGATGAAGCAGGAACGCGAGCACTACTAGAACCTCACATGAAAGTGTTTTTCCTTTTTGCTTTTTCGAGACCGGGTTTCTCTGTGTAGCCTTGTCTGTCCTGGAACTCACTCTGTAGACCAGGCTGGCCTCAGACTCATAGAGATCTGCCAGTCTCTGCATCCCTGAGTGATAGATAGTATTAAAGGCACGTGCCACTACATTGGGCTGTATCTGTTTTCTTAAAGACTGCCATTATGATTACAATTAGATGGAATCACAAGGTAATTTGAATTTGAATTTCCTGAATGACCAATGCGTCCATTTCTTTTCTTGTTGCTGTGACAAAGTATCTGAAGCAGAATTTCAGGGAGGAAGAATTTATTCTGGCTCACAAATTGAAGACTTAGGTTGAGGAAGACAGGACAGCAGGAGTGTGAGGCAGCTAGTCACACCGATTCCCAGTTAGGACACAGAGAGAGAACGCTGATGTTCATCTACCTTTCTCCTTTTGATGCAACCAGGACTCTGGCCACAGAATGATGAATCCCTGGGGTTAGGTTTTAATTAACCTAATCTAGATAATCCCTCACACACTCGTCCAGGGGCTCCTTTCTGTGGTGATTTTATATCCTGCCAAATTGACAATCAATATTAACCATCAAAGACAGTGAAGTTGAACATTTTTTTCTTGTATTAATTGGACGTTTTGCTATATCCTTTGAGAGATCTATCTATTTATTACATTGAGTTGCTTGATTTCTGTAGGGTTTTTTTCACTCTTTGTGCATTCTCAGTATTAAGCCTCTGTCTGCTATGCAGCTAACAAAGATTTCCTCCCAATCTTCAGGCTTCCTCTTGTCTTAGTTGTTTCCTTTGCAGCTTGGAACTTTCTTCATTTCATGAGTGCCATTTGTCTACTGTTAGGCTTATTTTCTGAGCAAGTAGAGTCCTGCTCAGGAATCCTTGCTTGTGCTTGATGTGTTTTCTCTCTTTTTCTCACGACGGTTTCAGAATTTAAAGTATTATATCATTTACACTGATCCAGGACGAGTTGACTTTTATATAGGCTAACAGACAGGGATCTAGTTCATTCTTCTTTATATGCATAGCCAGATCTCCCAGCATCATTTAATGAGGAAACTGACCTTTCTTCAATGCACTTTTGTACATCTTTAGAATCAGTTGGCTGTATTCACATGGGTTTATATCATGGTCCTCTCTTCTATTCCATTTATCTGCGTTTCTCTTTTTGTGCCATGAGCATGCTACTTTTTTCCTGCTGCTGTATGTATAACCTGAAATCAGTTTTCATGATATCTACAGCATTCTTTTTTTTTTTTTTTTTTTTTGGTTTTTCGAGACAGGGTTTCTCTGTGGCTTTGGAGGCTGTCCTGGAACTCACTTTGTAGACCAGGCTGGCCTCGAACTCACAGAGATCCTCCTGACTCTGCCTCCCGAGTGCTGGGATTAAAGGTGTGCGCCACCAATGCCCGGCTTACAGCATTCTTTTTTATGTTCAGATTTCTTTGACTATGTAGAATCTTTTATGCTTCCATCACTGTCCATCCATTCCTTTGTGACTGGGTTGCAAATTGAGCCTGCAGTTAGGATGGTGACCAGCAAGCTTCAGTATCCTCTTGTCTCTGTCCCTAACAATGCTACGTTTATGAACACATAGCCATGCCTGCCTTTTCTTTTTAAGTATAGGTTCTGAGGATTCTACCTTAGGTCCTTTTCTTATTTATCAAGTGCTCCTACTAACTGAACCATTTGTTTAGCCACTAAAATATTTTTAAGGCCACTGAAAATGGGGTTGTTTACTTGATTTAACACTCAACACGTTTGTTTTTTGTACATCTAGTGATTTTTGTGTGATAATTTGGTATCCTGCCATTTTCCTGCAAGTACTTGTGAAATCTAAAAGTTTTCTGATACAATCTATTATGTATAGAATCATATACATATCAAGTGGATAATTTGACTCTTCGTGTCTGTATCCCTCTTATTCTTTCTCTTATTACTTTAGCTAATACTTCAGATACTATATTGAATAAGGTGTATTCACGATATATATTGAAGCAGAGACCAGCGCGGGTGGAGGGCACGGACCGACCGAGCACGCCAACCATGGCCTCCAAGTGTGCCAGCTGTGACAAGACCTTGTAATTTTCTGAGAAGGTGAGCTCCCTAGGCAAGGACTGGCACAAGTTCTGTCTCAAGTGTGAGCACTGCAACAAGACGCTGACCTCCCGGGGCCATGCTGAGCATGATGGGTAACCTTTCTACCACAAACCCTGCTGTGTATGCCACACTGTTTGGACCCAAAGGCATGAATATGGGGCACTCTGGTTCCTATGTCTAAGAGAAGCCTCTGACTGAGAGCCTCAGGCCTCAGGTAACATTGGCCCCATTGAGGTCCCTGTGGTGCGAACCGAAGAATAGAAGACCAGCGGACCCCCAACGGTCCCAGCAAAGCCTCTAGTGTCATCACATTCACTGGGACACCCAATAATTGTCTGCAATGCAACAAGAGGGTGTGCTTTGCTGAGAAGGTGACCTGCTGCAGCCAGCTCTTCCTGTGCTGGGAGTGTCGCTCCAAGACACTGACCCCTGGCCGCTATGCTGAGCATGACGGCCAGCCCTACTGCCACAAGCCTTGGTATGGAATTCTCTTTGGACACAAGGGAGTAAATGCCAATACTGGGGGCAGCTGTAGCTATGACAAGGACCCTAAAGGAACAGCCCAGCGTTAGACCTGCAGATGCTCTCCTCCGGGTCCCATGCTTGACCCTGAGGGAAAATGACCCACTGTCTCCACTGCTTCCCCTTACCTCAGTGTGTCTTGACTGCAAATACCGGGACCTGAGTGGCTGATGGGGAAGTCTGCTGGGTAGTGTGCAGAACAGCACAGAAGTTCAACCCTACTTCTTTGTTTTCTTTCTTTCGTTCTTTCTTTCATTCGTTCTTTCTTTCTTCCTTCCTTCCTTCTTTCCTTCCTTCCTTTCTTCCTTTCTTACTTTCTTTTTTGTTTTTCGAGACAGGGTTTTTCTGTATTGTTTTGGATGCTACCCTGGAACTTGCTCTGTAGACCAGGCTGGCCTCAACCTCACAGAGATCCGCCTGCCTCTGCCTCCCGAGTGCTGGGGTTAAAGGTGTGCGCCACCAACGGCGGGCTTTAACCCTACTTCTTTGTCACCTCACCATGTCGTCTCTTACCCACTGCCTCCTTTGTGACTGTGTGCCTCTGTAGCTTCACGTGTCCTGTGTCCTGTTCCCGTGCCCAGCATTCTCTCTATCCCTGTGTCTCCATGTCCCCAATGGCTCTCCGAGGTGGCTGTCCTATGATGTCCCTGTTGCCCACACATGCCCACATGTATTTTTTTATGCTCTGCTGGCCAGTGATGGCCTGACCTCACAGCATTACCAGGGTGGCAGCACCCCTGCAAGGAGTCCTTTGCTGGTTCGCACACGACTCCCTACCTGCCCCTCACATTGTTCACAGGTACCCAGACTTTGCTGTGAATAAATGGATTGAGGATTGTTTTGTTTTTGCTTTTTCGAGACAGGGTTTCTCTGTATTGTTTTGGAGGCTGTCCTAGAACTCGCTCTGTGGACCAGGCTGGTCTCAAACTCACAGAGTTCTGCCTGCCTCTGCCTCCCGCGTGCTGGGATTAAAGGCCAGCGACACCAATACTCGGCCCACGGTTTGAGGATTTTTAAAAAAGATAAATATTTAAGAAAGTGGGCATTCTCACCTTATTCCTGATTTTAATGAAATGGCCCCTGTAGTCTAGAGCATTTTAATGAAGCAAGTAGTATGCTGAATCCAAAACCAGATAAAGACATCGCAAAAAGAAAAAAAGAAAATTGCTGATGGCTAACCAGTCTCCCTGATGAACACAGATGCAAAATGCAAAGTGAATTCAACATCACATCAAAAAGACCATCTACGTCAACCAAGCTGACATCTTTACATAGACAGAGAGATTGTTCAATATATTTCAGTAAAATCAGTGAATGTTATTCAGCACATAGGCGCATAGTCAGAAATCATATGATCAATTACAAAGATGCAGAAAAGGTATTAAATAAAATTCAATACCTATTATAAATGATTATTTATGTGGGACACAATTTATTAACAAAAGAGGGTAAAATTCAGCATCAAATATGCCATGTTTTGTTTATTCCCATGGGAGACCTGCCCTTTCCTAAACAGAAACAGAGGAGGAATGGATGGGGGTGAGGGAGACTGGGGAAGGGCTGGGGAAGGGCCTGGGAGTAGAAGAGGGAAAGGAAAGCTTGGCCAGGTTGTATAAATAACCTTATTTTAAAATGAAAACATCAACATAAGAAGTTGAGTGTCTGAAGTGCTGTGCCTTCTAAGGGCTCACTTTTCTCCCTTACAACCTCACCCAACCCTTGCCAAGGAGGCAAGGCAACTGCACAACCCCTCAGTCTTCAAAGATTCCTCCTCCCCCAGCTCTGCTCAAAGAGGGTGAGAGCCAGGTGAGCCTGGGGCAGTGGGACAGATGCCACCATAAGCCACCATGTAGGGAGTGGTCCATCCTAGCAACAAACAATGAGATCCTTTACGATAGCCAAATAAGGAATGGGGAACCCATCCAAAAAATCTCTCCCAGGATGACAACCACCAAATACACTAGACATAAGCAAGGGTTAACAGCCTTGAGGCACGTCACTTTGCTTTACAGGAGCAAGCCACTGCTCAGCACTAAGAAATATCCCACTAGGACCTCTTCTCCCATCTGCCAAGGATCCTTGGACTGAGGCCATTCTACGCCCTCTCTATTCCCACAGCCACGCAGAGTGGAGCTTACAAAATCCACTGGGAACCAGGCAGTGGTGGCAATCTCCTTTAATCCCAGCACTTGGGAGGCAGAGGCAGGCAGCTCTCTGTGGGATTGAGGCCAGCCTGGTGTACCATAGCTAGTTCTAGGGCAACTTCCAAAGCCACAGAGAAACCCTGTACCGAAAAAAAAAAAACAAACAAAAAAGCTACTTGGGAACAGGAAGACAGATCCTAGTTCACCAGATAGACACCATGTATCTGCCAAGGACCAGAGACCCTAGCATCACAGGCATTTGGCTTACATGTATACTGTGTTGGCATTTAGGTGGAATTTGAAAGGAACAGGTATCCTGGCACTGGGGAGCCACAGAATACTGAGTGATACACAGCTCACGTGGAAAGGTATCCTGGAGCTCTGGAGTCACAGAATACTGAGTGTTACACAGCTCACGTGGAAAGGTATCTGGGAGCTCTGGAGCCACAGAATACTGAGTGTTACACAGCTCAGGTGGACAGGTATCCTGGAGCTAGGAGTCACAGAATACTGAGTGTTACACAGCTCAGATGGAAAGGTATCCTGGAGCTCGGGAGTCACAGAATACTGAGTGATACACAGCTCACGTGGAAAGGTATCCTGGAGCTCTGGAGCCACAGAATACTGAGTGTTACACAGCTCAGGTGGAAAGGTAACCTGGAGCTCAGGAGTCACAGACTACTGAGTCTTACACAGCTCAGGTGGAAAGGTATCCTGGAGCTCAGGATCACAAAATACTGAGTGTTACACAACTCAGATGGAAAGGTTTCCTGGAGCTCGGGAGCCAAGGACCACCACAGGTTGCAGTAAGCATAGCAGCTTACAGCCCTGCCTCAGGGAAAGGCTTCCCCAGTATATGGGCTCGACTCAGGCAGGACAGCATCTTCAAGCTGAGGCTGTTCGCTCACTGTTGCAGTTTTGCTCGGCAGGAGGTTTCTCAGGAGAAGTTGTTACAGTTCAGCTCTACTCCTGGAGAGTGGAGAGCACAGATTGGAGCTCATCCAAGAGAAGCTTTCCCTGGCAAAAGGGTTACAGCCCTGCTAGCTCTGCTCTGCTCTGCCCAGGGTCTCCTCTGCTCTGTTGCCACCGCAAAAGTATTTCACCCAAAGCTTATTGAAGGTTTTTTTTGGAAGAAAGAAACCAAGGAATGGCTGCCCTCTGCCAGAGTAGCAGGGGACAGCAGGGTAGCACGAACAGCCACAAGTTGAACAGAAACGCAGTTTATATCGGGTTTACAGGGTGGGGATTGGTCAGATTTAGTGCTGAGCTCCGATTGGCTAGAGCTCCTGCTCAAGGATTGGCTAGTTTTCTGCACAGGATTAGGGTGAGATTTGGCTCTGGTTTCAGGGCCAAAGTGTGTTTCTTTTTCTGGTCCTTTTTAGCCTTTTGGCTCCAATTTTAGGTTCAGGATGCATTTCTTTCACTGGCTCTATTTCCTGGGACAAAATGTGTTTCTTTGGCACTGGTTTCAGGGTCGGGGTTCATTTCTTGGTTCTGGTTGCAGGGCCAAAGTGTGTTTCTTTGGCTCTGCTCAGGGTGTGCTTCTTTGACTCGTCCTTTTCCCCTACATATTCTGCACCACTTGCATGCCTGGTATCAGCAGAAGACGATTTGAAAGACCCTGAGGTGAATTAAGGTGGAAGCAATCCTTCATGTGGGTGCTGGGTGTTGAGGACTGGTCCTCTGGAAGAACAGACAGTTTAACTGATGAACCACCTACAGCCTTTGCTCCGGAAGTCCTTAAACTGTTCTAGGTCTAATATCACAAACTCAGGAAAACACCCAGAGGTTCTAGAAGGTTCTATGTGACTTGACCGTTGAGGCAGGATTGTAAAAAAAAAAAAAAAAAAAGAAATGAAAAGAAACGAAAGAAAGAAAAATTTAAAAACGGCTTGAGTTTTTCTACAATCCATGCTCCACGCCTACACAGACAGCCTCCATTAACAGTCCTGGTGGCAAGACCACCCGGAGAGTATATAAGGGGCAGGCTGTAAAGAGGATCACCACATGGGCCACCCAGAGTGCACTAGTGAAACACGCCACCAGGTGGGCGACCAATAGGAATGCAGTGGGCTCTATAAAAGCCGAGCCCTCAAGGCACCTAGCACACTCGAGGAGCAGAGGAGAAAGGAGCTTCTTCACGATGGTACGCACCAAGCAGACAGCGCGGAAGTCGACGGGAGGCAAGGCTCCACGGAAGCCGCTAGCTATGAATGTGGCTTGCAAGACTGCACCGGCTACTGGCGTAGTGAAGAAGAAGCAGCGCCGCTACCGCCCAGGCACCGTGGCGCTTCGTGAGATCCGCCGCTACCAGAAGACCACCGAGTTGCTGATTCGCAGGGCGCCGTTCCAGCACTTGGTGCGTGAGATAGCCCAGGGTTTCAAGACTGACCTGCGCTTCCAGAGCTCTGCGCTGATGGCGCTGCAGGAGGCCTGCGAGGCCTACCTCGTGGCGCTGTTCGAAGACACCAACCTGTGTGCCATCCACGCCAAGCGGGTGACCATCATGCCGAAAGACATCCACCTGGCTCGTCGCATTCGCGGAGAGCACTCTTAAACTTAGACTCCACAGGCTCCTGATTATTGCACTATCCTAAACCCAAAGGCTCTTTTCAGAGCCACCCACCACATCTAAAAAAGTGGTTGTAACCTTGTATGTAAATTTGATCGATAATTGAAAATATATGCAATTTTTTTGCTTTTAAAAACTGGCCTCAGAATAAAATCTTTGAAACCTTAAAAATATCACAATGAATGCATGGGTTGTCTCCAAGAATAACCAGGCCAGGTACTTTGCTCTTTGAGACTTATACGAACATTTTCTATTGACTCGGTAATCAAGTAATAGGTAAGTTTAGTATGATAGGTAATGTTAATGTGTATATAGCTTGTAGTAAGTGAACGGAAGAAAGACATGCCAAACAGAAAACAGCAGTGTGCAAATAAAAGGAATTACACAGACAATGTTTAGGGAGCCAGTTTCAGGGACAACATCGAATATGCATGGGGCAGGTAGGCTTAAAAACACAGTAATTTTGCTGGGCGGTGGTGGCACATGCCTTTAATCCCAGCACTAGGGAGGCAGAGGTAGGTAGATCTCTGTGAGTTTGGACCAACCTGGTCTACAGAGGAGTTCCAGGACAGCCTCCAAAGCCACACAGAAACCCTGTCTCGAAACCCACCCCCGCAAAACAGCAATTTGGTACTATTTCACAATAATCATGTGCCTTTCAGAGAAGGCAGAGATTCAAAAAAGCAAAGGAAAGGTCTCACTTGGAGATCTCTTATTAATCTGTTACAGCCTACTAAGAATTTTACATACACTCCAGATTGTTTTCTTTTCTGGTCAACAAATGATAAACATATATAGACAGTTGACTTTACAGAGGATATGGCTAAATATTGAGACATATTTGGACTACCTTAAAGCAAAACTCTCTTCATTAACCTGAGTAAATCCCCAAGGAGAGAACAATTGTCCTTCAAAAAATGTATATGCTTTCCTTAAATAAGTACAGACATACCTATCTGAGCAATATCAGCAACTCAAAAGTTCAGCTGCAAATAGAAACCCAATTTCCTCCTTTAAAAAACATGCACGTGGACTGGTGACATGGTTCAGACAGTAAAAGTGACTGCTACCAAGCCTGATGACCTGAGTTTGATCCCCAGAACCCACATGGTAGAATAGAACTCATTGATTGATTGATTGATTGATTGATTGATTGATTGACTTCAACAAAGAATTAAAAGATGCACACTTGCTAATCAATAGAGCTTCTCTCTGGAACAAAGGAGATGAGAAAGGATCAAAATTTGATTTCTACCCTCAATCCACTCATCTGGAGAACACTATTTAAGAAAGCAGATGGCAGATGGGTGGCAGTGGCACACACCTTTAATCCCAGCACTTAGGAGGCAGAGGCAGGTGGATTTCTATGTGTTTGAGGCCCATCAGAGCTACACACACAGGAACCCTGTCTTGAAAAAAAAAGCAAAAAAGCAGATTGCATCAGTGATCGATATGTTACAGAGGCTTTTTTTTTTTTTTTTTTTTTTTTTGGTCTTCAGAAGTACTCTCAGTTCCCATTACAGGACAAGCAGGAAAGTGTGAAGATGAAGCAGGAACGCGAGCACTACTAGAACCTCACATGAAAGTGTTTTTCCTTTTTGCTTTTTCGAGACCGGGTTTCTCTGTGTAGCCTTGTCTGTCCTGGAACTCACTCTGTAGACCAGGCTGGCCTCAGACTCATAGAGATCTGCCAGTCTCTGCATCCCTGAGTGATAGATAGTATTAAAGGCACGTGCCACTACATTGGGCTGTATCTGTTTTCTTAAAGACTGCCATTATGATTACAATTAGATGGAATCACAAGGTAATTTGAATTTGAATTTCCTGAATGACCAATGCGTCCATTTCTTTTCTTGTTGCTGTGACAAAGTATCTGAAGCAGAATTTCAGGGAGGAAGAATTTATTCTGGCTCACAAATTGAAGACTTAGGTTGAGGAAGACAGGACAGCAGGAGTGTGAGGCAGCTAGTCACACCGATTCCCAGTTAGGACACAGAGAGAGAACGCTGATGTTCATCTACCTTTCTCCTTTTGATGCAACCAGGACTCTGGCCACAGAATGATGAATCCCTGGGGTTAGGTTTTAATTAACCTAATCTAGATAATCCCTCACACACTCGTCCAGGGGCTCCTTTCTGTGGTGATTTTATATCCTGCCAAATTGACAATCAATATTAACCATCAAAGACAGTGAAGTTGAACATTTTTTTCTTGTATTAATTGGACGTTTTGCTATATCCTTTGAGAGATCTATCTATTTATTACATTGAGTTGCTTGATTTCTGTAGGGTTTTTTTCACTCTTTGTGCATTCTCAGTATTAAGCCTCTGTCTGCTATGCAGCTAACAAAGATTTCCTCCCAATCTTCAGGCTTCCTCTTGTCTTAGTTGTTTCCTTTGCAGCTTGGAACTTTCTTCATTTCATGAGTGCCATTTGTCTACTGTTAGGCTTATTTTCTGAGCAAGTAGAGTCCTGCTCAGGAATCCTTGCTTGTGCTTGATGTGTTTTCTCTCTTTTTCTCACGACGGTTTCAGAATTTAAAGTATTATATCATTTACACTGATCCAGGACGAGTTGACTTTTATATAGGCTAACAGACAGGGATCTAGTTCATTCTTCTTTATATGCATAGCCAGATCTCCCAGCATCATTTAATGAGGAAACTGACCTTTCTTCAATGCACTTTTGTACATCTTTAGAATCAGTTGGCTGTATTCACATGGGTTTATATCATGGTCCTCTCTTCTATTCCATTTATCTGCGTTTCTCTTTTTGTGCCATGAGCATGCTACTTTTTTCCTGCTGCTGTATGTATAACCTGAAATCAGTTTTCATGATATCTACAGCATTCTTTTTTTTTTTTTTTTTTTTTTTGGTTTTTCGAGACAGGGTTTCTCTGTGGCTTTGGAGGCTGTCCTGGAACTCACTTTGTAGACCAGGCTGGCCTCGAACTCACAGAGATCCTCCTGACTCTGCCTCCCGAGTGCTGGGATTAAAGGTGTGCGCCACCAATGCCCGGCTTACAGCATTCTTTTTTATGTTCAGATTTCTTTGACTATGTAGAATCTTTTATGCTTCCATCACTGTCCATCCATTCCTTTGTGACTGGGTTGCAAATTGAGCCTGCAGTTAGGATGGTGACCAGCAAGCTTCAGTATCCTCTTGTCTCTGTCCCTAACAATGCTACGTTTATGAACACATAGCCATGCCTGCCTTTTCTTTTTAAGTATAGGTTCTGAGGATTCTACCTTAGGTCCTTTTCTTATTTATCAAGTGCTCCTACTAACTGAACCATTTGTTTAGCCACTAAAATATTTTTAAGGCCACTGAAAATGGGGTTGTTTACTTGATTTAACACTCAACACGTTTGTTTTTTGTACATCTAGTGATTTTTGTGTGATAATTTGGTATCCTGCCATTTTCCTGCAAGTACTTGTGAAATCTAAAAGTTTTCTGATACAATCTATTATGTATAGAATCATATACATATCAAGTGGATAATTTGACTCTTCGTGTCTGTATCCCTCTTATTCTTTCTCTTATTACTTTAGCTAATACTTCAGAT